TCACCTGAGCATATTATGCTCAATTTGATGAATACATGTATTATGTAAATTATTGAATTATATTGACTTTTTCCTTGGTAAAGCCCAATATGAAGAAGTGTGCATTTAGAGGCAAACACCTTAGTGCGGGTATTACTGTCTCATGACAGCATCTAGTTTTATTTTTGTTTTTAAGGTTTGTGAAATCAAATCTGATAAAATAAGAGCTGGGAAACTCTGAACAAGCCTATCCAACTAGTGCATTATGACATATATTTAATTTTTCATGGTAAATTCTAATTGCAGTGTAGTTTTTAATCATGGTAATGTATACTGTAACGAGCACTAGTATTGATAAAATTTGATTAATTATGAAAAAAAGTCAATGGTACAAAACATTAACTTTAAAGAAATGATTTAGCCTTTCAAATACCCAACGATCTAAAAAATAATGAACGACCAATGAATAAATTCCAGTTTTATCGACTGGGGAACAATTAAAGACGGATATTTAACAATTTACAAAAGTATACTTTTTTGGACGGAATACTGTATAAGTCATAAATGCATATGATCAAAATTTTATAATATATTGTTGCAAATCGTTAAGATGAATATCTTTACTTCAGTAATGTATTACAAAATATTGATCATTAAAGAGTTAAAGATGAAAGACTTTTGGTCCCTCTGAGCCCCTATTTGGAGGGATCAGACCCTTTTTCTTGATATCAAATGAAAGGTTTTGTGATTTTAAAGACTTTTTTTCAACACCTATTCAGAGATTTCTTATCACTACGGAGATATGCTGAATGGATATACATGTATTTAGAGGTCATCCCTTCAAGTCCTTAATGGGGCATTTTACATAAATTAAAAATATGCATATTGTCTAAAACATTATTGTAACAACATTGTTTATCAAAATATTTTCCTCTTTTTGAGATATAAAACGTCAAAGATTTAGCATTCTGGCCCCTTGTGACTATTAATTACGAAACAGATGATCAAAATTTTATAAGATATTGTTGCAATTTATTACGATGAATATCTATGCTTCTGTAATGTATTACAAAATATTGCTCATACTGGGCCATTTTACAAAAATTAAAAGTATGGATATTGTTTAAAACATTAATCTTCGCTAGCCAAGGATATCTGATATGATATGCATGATTATGAGGAGAGTAGCGTATCAGAAACCCTTGGCTAGCGAAGATGTATAGTAAAACATTATACTGACCATCTTTTATTCAATATTGCTTATCAATTTGTATTGCAAACTATTGCTCATTAAAGAGTTAAAGATGAAAGACTTTTGGCCCCTCTGAACCCCTAATATGAAGATTCAGACTCTTGTTCTTCATATCAAAAGTAAGGTCTTATCATTCCATTGGAAACGGAAGACCTTAAGTATAAGGTCTTCCGTGAAGACGTACGACCTTAATGAGGTGTATTAATTAAACTTATTCATGTGGAAAAGGGTTATCTAGGCTATGCCTGCTGCCCAATCCGTTTTTGTATATTTTACATACTAAATTATGTTCAAATCAAGTTTTTATTGTGTAAAAAAGTAGGGGATCAAATTTCTTAAGGGATCATTTTTCAACGTGTATACGGTCGAAGGATAACTGGTCTGGGATGTTTTTTTACGGTCGACAAATGACCCTATTTGTCGTAGAATATTGACCCTGGGTCATTTTTCTACGTAGAAAAATGACTCCCCTGGTCTATATTCTACGGGGGGGGGGGGGGGGGGGGGGTCGTTACACCGGCCCTGGATCCCGCTCCCCCACTTTTTGAAGCAGTATATAGTCATAATAAACAAGGAAATCTAATACAAGTTTGATCCACCGCACAAACACACACACAAAATAGGACTTTCGAGTTTGGACAAGTTTCTCAGTTTTTGTTTTCAGGTAAGTTGATTTTTTTTCCTCGCCCCTTTCAATAACGATGTTCTGTTTTTTTTCCCCATTTTTTCCGACAAAGGACTTTCCACTCTGGCTGTCGAGATCGATAGTGGTTTGGGTTTTCCATATATCCGTGAAAAGAAATTTTATACAAATACAGTAAAACATTCCGAAAAATCTCGAATCTTTAACAGAGATACCGGCGGAAAACTTCTCCATCCAATCCAAAACATTATTCTAATTGCACCTTTTTCTGTTTTTTTTTTTTTTTTTTTTTTTTTTTTACACCTGTATCCGTGGCCTTCCGCGGGTCTCTCTTCCTTTACATGTACATGGACATTTGTACTACATTAAAGCTTTTTACTTTTGTTCATGTTTTATGAGTTTATTTACCAGAGCAAAACATTTTAGTAGGCTTTTGAATTCATTGTTGATTGCATGCATTTATTCCTGATTTGCATTGTACAATGCATTCATCTGTAAACCACATTCCTCGTAACAGGAAATACAGATGTAATATGAATAAACTAAGCGAAGTAAATATTGAAAATACAAAATAAAGAATATATGTACGTATATGATTCAGTTTTCTTGTACTTAACACCATTACAAGAAGAATCTCCCTCATGTACATTAAAAAATATACTCGTACAGGTTTATAAAGACAATAAAACTCTCTTTTAAAAGGGTCTGGACACAGATTCAACTGATTTTTTAAAACCAATTTTAATGTTTACAATACCTACCTTAGGCATCATCTTCTGATTAGCAAAAATTTGAACATCATTTGTTGATAAACAAACAAGATACAGAAGTTAAATTTCTTCAAAATGTAAACAAGTCTCGTGCCTTGTTTTGTTTACAAATAGTAAATATCATATGTATAACAAAATGAAGTTCAGCAAATCAATAGTAGTTGTCGAATCGTATTTAAAAATTAACATTTTATTTAAAATCACCTACCCTGAACGAATATAACATAACACTAGTCTTGTTTACATAACAAATGTTTGGAGCTCTAAATCTGTCTTGTATCTGGACAACTGGCGTTCAATTTTTTGATGATCATTAGAAACCCCTAGTTAAATATTTGTAAAAATGGAAAAAAATAAATTTTGAAATTTTTAGCTGAAACTGTGTACACGTCCCTTTAAAGTTGTGCTAAAATATAGGTACATTTTTGCTCAGGTATTGAAATATTTATTCAAAAAGTTAATTTTTCATGAATCAATATCTGTCCATGTAACGATTTTCCTTTCTTTGAACTTTTTACTTTTGGATAAAACATTGAAATTATTCTGTGTTATAAGATTCCCATAGCAGGACTGAATATAAGCTTAAAACTATACGATTTACGATAAGCTTAAAACTATACGAAAACTATGACGAAATTGATTAATTCCCACGAGTATCTCCAGTTGAAAATGTACTAAAAGTCTCAATATACGTACCTTTATATATTTTATATTTTTCTCCGAGTCCAAGAAGCACATTTTGTTACTGTTTAGTGCATCTGCTTCTTATGATTTTAAGTAAGATTTGAAGTACATTTATTTAAATAAAAACTACATCCCAATTGAAGCCACTCCATTCAGGGTTGCATAGTTCAAGTTCATTTTATTCACTCAAACCAATTAATGGTACATGAGGTTCTACAATGTATGTATAATTTAAACAAGAAAAACATTATACAAGATACACGTGAAATGGAAGAAATACATTCATATTATAAAGTAAACTAGAACTGTCCAATAGGGACAAATACCCCCCGCTGGGTTTTTCAGAGAAGGTGCCAATTCAAAATACTTTATGGATCTAGAGGTGTTCACAATTTACTTACAAAAATTTGCAGTGAAATATAATTGCTCATCATGTTTCTTAATGAATGAAACAAAGGTGCAACCAAATGAAACATCAATACTAATAGTCATTGTAATTCCATTGTAACATTATTTTTTTTTAAATTTAATTTTTTTATTTCTGCATTAAAAAAATACATTGCAAATATGTGTTATGTCACTCTGCAAACTGATTGTTGAAAAAAAATCATATACAAAATCAAATTAATCTTGATAACTTTATATCAAATTCATTTGAAAATAAAGAGCTGGTCATCCAGTAATGAAGTGCTTTGACAGACAATAAATTACAGTTAAGAGAATAAGAGAAGAGAGATCTTTAATTCTTGTGCCAGATTCCCAGGAGATTACACATGGTTGATAATGAGATGCCTTAATGTTCAACTTCCCACACCAAACTCATTAATTTATCTTTAACTGGATGCATGTCCAGTCATTATTCCCAAGAGATAAATAAAATTACATTATCTTCTGTGCAATGTAAAAACTGTTTTTAACACTTGATGATTTTTCTTTTTTTAAGTTTATATGAGTAGTTTTAAGCTGTAGTATTTTTGTACAGATATTCTAGATTCTATGTCTCAAACCTTATACATGAGCCAAAAATGAACAAGTCAATTAAAATAAAAAATAAAACCTGTAAAATGCAAAAAAATGAACAGAAAGAGTTGAAAATTCCAATTGCACACCTTCATACGGTGAACGATAAGTGTACAAATTTTCAGATTAATCCTTGCAATAGTATCTGAGAAACGGTCCGGACAAAACCACAAAATAAAAATGAAAAAACACCTGTAAAATTCAAAATAATAATCGTATCAAGATGAAAATATCAGGTGCACAACTTCATATGGTGAATAATATTTGTACAAATTTTCAGACAAATCCTTCCAATAGTTTCTGAGTAATGGTCCGGACAAAATCTCGTCTACAGACAGACAGACAGACAGACGGACATGGTGATTCCAATATACCCCCCTAAACTTCGTTTGCGGGGGGTATAAAAATATGCAGGACAGACTTTTTTATATAATCTATTCATGTAACTACATAGTTCAATTAATACTTTAGAGTCAGCAGATGATAACAATTCTGAAAATTTGTAAAATTGGTCTATTGCAATATATACTAGGTTGATATTTTTTCTGCATTCTGTAAAAAAATAAATTCACATTAGAGTGTGTACCATTAGCCTATTTGTAGTGATATTCATCTACATATGTACACACCTACAAACCAACTCTGCACTTTGTCAGATGGATTTTAAATGCACCCCACATTCGAGGATTTGACATCGGGCACATGCAAACGGTAAGACAAGTATGAGATATATGCCAAATACAGTTCTGTATTAAAAATATTTTTAATACATACTATTTTAATACAAAATTGTACGAGACATATGTCGTACTTAAAACATTGCTTTTTGGTTTACCTGAGACAGTCTGATATTAGAACAAAGACAAAGGTGTTAATGACCACTGAATGCAGGCTTAAATGAAATGTACTCAGTATTTAGGGATCAAGAAATTGATAAGGAGCGTGGAGAAAACCAGAAGTCTCTGTCGAGACTGAAGCTCTACTGGTTTGAACTTATAGCAAAGGAAGAGAAAGTACTTAAGCAGCTGGGATTTGAAACTTTATAAACAGCATTAAATAGAATAATGATCGTTGATAAAGTCTCTTTATGTTCTTAGTGTAGTCTACTTGTGTGCCAAGTTATACTGAAATCAGACCAAAACTGTAGGAGGAGTAGCATTTTGAAACAATTTTACAGACATTTCTATTTTTAGTAACCACGGCAACACCGTTCATCAAAATTAAAATTCAATACACAGAATTATGTATCTTAGAGTATTCTACTTGTGTGCCAAGTTATATTGAAATCAGACCAAAACAGTAGGAGGAGTGGCATTTTGAAACAATTTTACAGATATTTCTATTTTTAGTAACACGACAACACCATTCATTGAAATCAAAAACCGATACACAGAATTATGTATCTTAGTGTATTCTACTTGTGTGCCAAGTTATACTGAAATCAGACCAAAACTGTAGGAGGAGTAGCATTTTGAAACAATTTCACAGAAATTTCTATTTTTAGTAACCACGGCAACACCGTTCATTGAAATCAAAAACGGATATACAGAATTATGTATCTTAGTGTATTCTACTTGTGTGCCAAGTTATACTGAAATCAGACCAAAACTGTAGGAGGAGTAGCATTTTGAAACAATTTCACAGAAATTTTTATTTTTAGTAACCACGGCAACACCGTTCATCGAAATCAAAAACCGATAAACAGAATTATGTAACTTAGTGTGTTCTACTTGTGTGCCAAGTAATACTGAAATCAGACCAAAACTGTAGGAGGAGTAGCATTTTGAAAGAATTTCACAGAAATTTCTATTTTTAGTAACCACGGCAACACCGTTCATCGAAATCAAAAACCGATACACAGAATTATGTAACTTAGTGTATTCTACTTGTTTGCCAACTTATACTGAAATCAGATCAAAACTGTAGGAGGAGTAGCATTTTGAAAGAATTTCACAGAAATTTCTATTTTTAGTAACCACGGCAACACCGTTCATCGAAATCAAAAACCGATATACAGAACTATGTATCTTAGTGTAGTCTACTTGTGTGCCAAGTTATACTGAAATCAGACCAAAACTGTAGGAGGAGTAGCATTTTGAAAGAATTTCACAGAAATTTCTATTTTTAGTAACCACGGCAACACCGTTCATCGAAATCAAAAACCGATGCACAGAATTATGTATCTTAGTGTAGTCTACTTGTGTGCCAAGTTATATTGAAACCAGACCAAAACTGTAGGAGGAGTAGCATTTTGAAAGAATTTCACAGAAATTTCTATTTTTAGTAACCACGGCAACACCGTTCATCGAAATCAAAAACCGATACACAGAATTATGTATCTTAGTGTAGTCTACTTGTGTGCCAAGTTATATTGAAATTAGACCAAAACTGTAGGAGGAGTAGCATTTTGAAAAATTGTTTACAGACAGACGGACAGACAGACGGACAGACGGACGGACGCCGGACGCATTACTATCGCATAAGCTCTTCTGGTCTCTGACCAGTAGAGCTAAAAAATGTTCTTCCTTAAGGGGGGACCTATGTCCGAAAAGTCTTTGTGTGAAATTTTCAAAACTTTGACATTTCTTACCTGACCACTTGATCTTAATTTTTAGGTATTAAAAACAATACCTTTATATGCTTATTTTTACACAGGAGCACGTGCAAAAACAGTGTGAAATGCTAAAAATAGATTATTTTCAGACGTTATTGTTCTACTCCAAATATGCGCTAAAAAGAACCAAAAATGTCAAATCACATTCGAAATCAACATGTATTTAATATATATGACTTGTATCTTTAAAATGAAGGCAAATTCATTGTAATTCATCTCGCATGAAAAATTATACAGGAGCACAATGTAAGTATCACCCCGTTTTTCTTGTCGTATTTTTTACAATTCCGACATACATAACAGGTAATATCTAATAAAGTCTTTCTGTGAAAATGCTGCAATTCATATTTTTGAAAGAAATGACCCCTCTCTTTATTTTAACAAGGAAAAAAGTGTACCTTTATGATAAAATAAACGAGAAATATAACGTTTTCTTTTATTTTCGTACTCTTTTGTCATAAATATTGACCTTTCTGCACTAAAAAAGAGGTAAGTTAGCACTGACAAACATCTGAATATAAAACTATTTTGCAAAAAACGAGTATTTTGTTTTGATAAGAAATAATTTAAACAGATATACTCTTTTTTTTCTTCATTCTAATCATTTTGGCCCCCCCCTTCCCCGTCAACAACCAACACCTAATAGGAATGACTTTATACAATAAAATCTACATACACTATAAATCAATAAGTAAATATAGGTACAAGTACATTTCTTTATTTTTCTTAGTTTTATCCAGAAAATACAATTAACGGTAATCATAAAATTAAACATATTTCCCTAATTTAAGCCGCTGTCTTTGCTGAATTTTATCTTATATTTTTTGCATTTTTATATCAGCATATCATAGAGGTATTTCTTCACAACTGAAATTGCTATGAATTATCAACCAAAGGAAGAGAATTCTTATATTAACAAACTCCATAAATCAAATAAAACTGTTTTAAATGATGAAAAAAATTTCTTTTTGTAAAATGTGTACGTTTTTGATTAATAACAATGTTATGCCTATAATCACAGTTGCAAAAGTCAGCGGGAAAAAAACAAACGTCGCTATTGTGACGTCACATAACGCTGCTTTGACGTCGAACGACATAGGTCCCCCCTTAAAACATACACGGAGATTAAAACGGTGCAATGAATTATCATACAGAAAATCTAGTGAATAATAAATTTTGAATGGAATGGAATCAGAATCAGAATCAGAAAATTTTATTTTGAGTCGGATTATTGTAACAAACATAAGCTCTGTAGAGCTTTTGACCGACATTGAAAATGCAGATAGAAGAATAACCATAGAAAATTAAGCAGGTGCTGAAGGTACATTAGTCCAGTTCATGTTTTAATGTTAGGTGTCTACATTTACCGTTGTTTTTTGGTGCTCCATTATAGAACAAAATCAGTAATCCAGGGGTTTTGAGGGAAACATAGAAATTCTTTATATTTCTTTCAAAATTTGTTGCGAATCTGTCAAATTTAGTATTAATTAATTTATCACATACTTGGGATAGGTGTCGTGATTTTGCTCGTCATTTTTCTTTCTATACATGAGAATCAAAGGCCTGAAGGGCCTGTGAGTTGACTCGCTTGAGTCAATTGAGCTTTTTCATACATCTGGGCACCATACCTTACTATAATCAGTTTATTTTGCATCTTAGGAGATTGAATATTACATGTCTGATCCATGTTCGGTTCATAAATAAAATGTATATTGCTTTTCCTTCATATATACAGGTTGGCACTAAAGGCCTTCCGTATTATTTTGACTGGATTCTTTAATGAATTTAAGCACATTAGCTGAAGTGGTCAGTGTTATGGAATAATTAGGTTAAAGATTCCCACAGCAAATCTGGATTCTAAAAATAGATTTTCAACAACAACTAGCTGCAGCTAATGCGAGCAGCAGGTGTTTGTGTTAGGGAGTATTCTAGGTTAATTATAAATAAACTTCAGATGGGAAGATTAGATCCACCTAACATGCTTGAACATATATTCATACGCAGTAATTGCATGTACATCGTACTACAGATATTAAATCAAAAATTTCTTTAAAAGCATGAAGGCATAAATAATGTTACAGTATGAAATTTTATACAGTTTTTACCTCTTAAGTTTATACAATCACTCAAACCAAAGCATTTTTTGCTAGAACTATTATGTTTGGCGTATGGATCACCTTGATGAATGTGTGAGGAATTTTACAGCTCTGAAACGGCTGCGTCAACAGGGAGTAGCTTGCTACGCAAGCCAACTCAAAAATGAAATCAATTTTTTTGAATACTGCTTTTTATAGTGTCTAAAGTTTTTAATTTGTACCCCGCTTGAAAAGTGGGGGATATTAATTTGGGTCTGTCCGTCCGTCCGTCATTCTGTCTGTCTGTAATGCATTCGTTTCCACACGATATCTCGAGAACCCTTTGAACTTTCGCAATGAAACTCCATATGAACTAAAAAAGAACCCTGTAGATTTTGGGGTTAAAGGTCAAAGGTCAGGGTCATTAATTAAACAATTCTGTCTGTTAAAACACTTTCGGTTCCGCGCGATATCTCGAGAACCCTTTGAGCTTTTGCAATGAAATTTACAAAACAACTCTCTGAGGCCTAAGAAACACCCCTAATGATTTTCAGGTCAAAAGGTCAAAGTTCAAGGTCGAAAATTTATACATTGAGTAACACTATCCCTTCTGGGCGATATTTCAGGAGGATTTTGAGCTTTTGTAAAGTAATTTTATACCAAAACTCCCTAGAACCTCTCTCGCCCCTCTCAAAGTGTCCGGCTCCGTTCGTTATATTAGTATTTATTGTATTACATGTCGCTATTTTTAGTTCAGGGGTATGAGGAGAGTTATTACGTATAAAACAGGTTCTCGACAGACTTTATATTCTTATTGCATCTATTAGAACTTGTAACTGTCCAGGCGCAGTCAGTTAAACCCTGGTCACAATCCAAAAACACCAGGAAACTGGTAGATCAGTTTATTTGACGCAAGTGACAAGTGGTAAAAGGCTGTAAACAAATACAGAAAACAGAGTTACAAATATGAAGTAAACACAACAAGCATTACTCAATACTGAACTCTATACATGATGTACAGA